ATAGTCCTGCTGCTGCCAGGTCCGGGGGACACCTGAACGCAGAGGTTCTGTTGTGGAGGAGGGGGCTGGGTGGAGTAGCGTTAGGGTTCTGTGCTTGCAGAAGGAGCAGGTGGAGTGTGGGGGCCTTTGGCCTCTGGTCGTAGAGAGTAATGCGAATGGGAAGGACTGATGCCTGGGCCTGGGGTGTGGCAGGGCTTCCTAGAAGTAGCTGGGAGGGATTGCAGGCACACTGTCTATAATGGAGCTGGAAGCCTGAATGCATGGTGGCTAATGGGCTTCGTGAGGCCCCACATTGACGGGAAATGTTCAGCAGGCCCTATCCTTGTGCAGATAAGAAGGGATCCATTTCAACAGCATTCTCCAAAGGAGTCTTTCTGGGAACTGGCATCACGACTCTCCTTTCCCTCTGCCTCATCCTGATCATGTGAGTTAGGAGGCAGAGCAGTGGGGTCTGGGGCCAGGGACAGAGAAGGTACAAGAGTGCACACCAAGTTGGGGTTCATTCCTCAGTGTGAATACTCTGCGGAAGAAATGGACCCAGGCAGAGACTTTGAGGCCCAGAGTTTCTCGAAGCAGCACAATCCTAGATTACATCAATGTGATCCCCAACACCGGTCCCCTGGTGAGTGGCCTGGCCATGCTGCCTCTTCCTTCCCTTCTCTAAAGTGAACATCCCCTTTTCTGACTTCTGCACACACTCCTTCCCTGTCCCACCCCCACCCTTTGCCTTAGGACATCAAGGTGGAAAAAGCAGCAAGTATTGGATTTGAATCCTGGCTCTTGCACTAGCAACCGATGAGACCTTGGCCAAGTTACTCTGAGCTTTCATTTCTTACTTTGTTTCCTTTGAGAGTTGGTTTGAGGATTAGAACACATGCAGATTCTCAATCCATAGCCACTTTCCATTATTACCATCACCAAGGACATTACTAATTATAATTAACTACTTAATAATTATTAATATCATTGAGAGGCAGTGTGTCCTAGTGATTAAGTGTAGGGGTCTGAAGTCAGCCTGCTTGGCTTCAAATCCTGCTTTTATCACTCTGTGTTCTTGAACAAGTCACTTAACTTCTCTGTGACTCAATTTCTTGAATTATAAAATGGAGATAATAGTAGTGCCTACCTCCTTGGATTATTCTAGGCAGTAAATACAGTCATATGTCATGTAACAATAGGGATATCCTCTGAGAAATGCATCATTAGGCAATTTCATCATTGTGTATTATAAAAGGGAGCAGCAATGAGTTTTCCTATTATCTATACTGGCCACTAGTTGCATGTGTGTGGGTGCTCTAATTATGTTAGTAAGTCTCTCTGTGCTTCATCTGTTAAATGGAGATTAAAATAATACCACCCCCACAAAGTTATGAAAATTAAATTGCAGGTAGGGATTTGCCTGGAACTCAACAAGCACTCTGAGTGCTAGCGAACTATTAAAGTATTATTTTGCTATGGGGGTGAGTGGTAGTCATTTAAACATGCAAGAATTCTAAAGTAGACAACAACCCTTTCGCTTGGAGCCAGACCTAATGCATCAACTGTTTGGCTTTCTATCTTAAAGATCAAGCTGCCTTTGGGAGGGTCACCCTGTGAGTAAGCTAGGCACTTTCCTCCACATATTTTGCAATAGGTTTGTTTACACCAGCATCACCACATGAGTAATGCATAGAGTTATAACATTATGACAGCTACGAAGTCACTAGGCAATAGGAATTTTTCAGCTCCATTATAATCTTAAGGGACTACCATCATATAAGTTGTCCACCATTGACTGAAATGTAGTTATGCAGCGCATGCCTGCATATTATACCTACAAAACATTCAGAATAATATCTGGCCCCTAGTAAGTGTTCAGTAAATGTTACATTTAATTAGGAGATAACATCTATATGCTGATGACTCCAAAATTTACGTCTCCCGGCAGTTTCC